TTCCATTAATCCATTTTTATTACAACAAACATTTTCTGGGCCTAACTGATTTGACCCAACAGAACAAAAAACTCTTAAAAAAAAAGTTTAACAGCTCAATATAATAATATTTTTCTTTTAAAAGGAGACAACAAACACCAAAGAAGATAAATGGGCGAATTCTAAAAGACTTTGATAGGCCTTGCGTTTATCTTTTTTTCTATTGAAACAGAAAAACAGTAAATTTAATAAGTAAGAATGCTTCTTTTCTTTTTTAATCATTGGATGGACCATTTTAATTTATAATGATAAACACACCCCTCTCTTAGAAACAGTAAAAAAACTATTGTTGGGTCTTATATTAAAAAACAATAAAACAAATGTTCAATAAGAATGTCAAAGAACTTTAATGAACTTTTAATACCAATACCCCTCTTTTGCTATCAAAGAAAAATAGAAATGGGCCAAACGTAATTGGCTCGCATATTGTAAATTCATCTTCTTGTTTTTATTACCAACAACAATTCTTAAATGGGTTAACAAATTAAGGACTTAATTATTATTCTTTTGAAATAATTTTCCATTTTCGAATTGCATGGTCCATTGGCCAACATGCTACGCGGATGAATTTATGAGTCTTTCTGACTTAGATAGCCCCATTTTCCCGAATTAAAAATACACCCCCTAGTCTTGGATAAAGATGGACCATCAGATATTGTTGTACCATATGTAATTGAATATTTCTTCTATTTTAATTTCGAAAAATAAAATCATCGACGTAGGACAAATTTGGGGTACGACAACAACCACGTCTCTCCATGCTTGCACCAACAAATTTTACTCTTTCTAGTTCCTTTTTAATGAGTCGTATACATTGTCTTGAGATAAAACTGTGCAATTTAGAATAGAAAGGGGTGTTATACCAATGGTCAATGTTGACGATACTTTTTGAGACGACACTCTGATGGAACCTAGTTGCAACTTCAATATTGTGTTCACAGCATCCCAACTTCGACATAAATCACCACGACATGTAGTCAACAAGTTCTTTAGTCTCCAATGTGCAAACTCCACCCTAAAAATCATGAACATATTATCTAAACAACTTTCAAATTAATATCTAAACATAAACATATTTGTCTGTTAGTCCAATGTACTTGTTACATATAGGGTGTGTTCTAAATATCTGAAAACTCAAAAATTTGTTCCATATTATAGGATGTGTTCTAAATATCTGAAAACTCAAAAATTTCGAATATGCATTTGAAATTACCGTAAGTCTTGCATTTCAGTCAACATCCTTTTTTTTATAAAATATATTTTAGAGACGTGTCTCTATATATAATTTGAAGTGTATTCTGATATGTATCTTTGTAAAATCCCTAAATATTTTATAGGCACCAACATTATTCTAACTTCGCCGTCTTTTTATGTCAACTTATATTTTAAATCATTTTAGATTATAAATTTAAAAAATTATAGATTAATTAATTTAAACATATTACACATACATTAATTAAATTAAATTTAAAATGTACCGATCATATATAATTTATATCAGACATGAAAAAATATTTCTTAAATTTCAACCACATCAATATATTTTATATTTCTTGTTTTTACTTTAGAGTTGTGTTATTTACACACCAACAATGTTGACATTATATCAACACCGTATAATTTTATCACTATCTTTTACTACTTTTTATTGATAGAGTACATACTTTTACAATCCTTAAAACTACTCGTATACATAAAAACACAAACATGTCACCGCCAATAGTTGTGTTTGTCACCGCTCTATTTTTATCATCACCTCAAACCACCATTTGAATCATCACTCTAGTTGTTTTTTCAATAATCATTTTAATCGGCATAGTCATTTTTCTCATTTTCATGACTGTGTTTATCCATTTAGCGAACTGACTAATTCGGTTTCAGCTTCAAAATTAGGATTTCCATCTTAAAAATCAAATTCAATATTTTCTAAATATAATCCTTAGCAGGAGTTCTATAAACACTATCAATTATTACTTGAATCATTTTTAACACACATTTCAATCACTATCGATCATTCAAATATGTCTTTGAAGACATGCAAGATTGACTATACAAGTTTTAAAAATTTTAACAATTAAACTATAGTTAAATAAAATCTCATAAATTATTTATCATTGTTAAATCATTGTTAAATAAAAATTATAATTGTTTTATCATATGTTTAATGACAGTCAACTCACATAGTACTTTCAAAAACTTAATACAACTCTACGACAAATGTCTTAATTGTCGGGTTAAGATTAAGTGATTTTGGGGTGTGTGTAATTTTGGATAACTTTAGTTCATTTTTGATGAAAAAGAAAAAAGAATTTTTTGATACACTCTTGAATCTTTTTAGAGGTTTTTGGCGAAATTCTCATAATATCTTCTGAATTCAGATATGCATATCTGAACTCACCACGTTACATATTTAGATGGGTTGTTTCAGATACGTATGTCCGAAATAATCTTTTAGTTAAAATCAGAGAGTTTTCGAATATGCATATTTGAATCAATTCGTAATTTAAGTACATGGGAGTTTGGATATGCATACTCATGAGAGAGGATGGTTAGGGAGGTATCGGGTGCAGCGGGTTACAAGAGGCAAAAGAGGGACCAGGGGTTAAGATTAGATATACTCAGTAGACCATACCTTTTTTATTTATTTATCTTTTTATTTTACAGTATGTACTTTCTAAACAATTTACGTATTAATTTCTGATATTTCTGAATAATTTATGTTCGTATCATTTTTTATTTTTGGTATTTAGTATTTCGATATTATTTAAAGGAATTACGTATCAAATTGTTGTGTTTATTTGGTACCAAAATTGATGTTTTATAAAAAAAACTAGGGTTAAATATGTTTTTGGTCCCTATACATATCTCAAATTTCATTTTTAGTCCTTATTAAAATAATGGCAAGGATTAGTTCCTACAAAATTATTATGCACGTAGTTTTAGTCTCTGTTGTTAAACCAATGTGTATTTTTGAATGATTATTTGTAAACATGTTTAGAACGTTATAAAAAGTTTCTTGGAAAAAAAGAAATTCAAAATTTGATTTCTAAGTCGAAATTTTCTTTATTTTTATCAATATCTTTTGAAATTTAAAAAATATATATTTAATTCTTTCTCATTTAAAAAATTATAAAATTTGATAAAGAAACATTTTATAGTATTCTAAACACGCGTGGAAAATATTATTCAAGAATTTAAAAGTTTAAGGGTAATTAAACAGTTTTTAAAATTTTAGAAAATAACAGGGACTAAAACTGGATGAATAAAAAAAATTTAGGGATCAAAATTTGTCATTTTTTAATAGAGATTAAAAATGAAATTTAAGATATTTATAAGGATCAAAAACATATTTAACTCAAAAAACTATATTATAAACCCATTTTGTCTAGAGTTTCAGAGATACATATCTGAATGAACCCATAAATCAATTTTGCAAGGTGTTTTAGATATGCATATCTAAAAATATATTGAATATTTCAATCCAACGTTCAAATAATAATAAATGTAAACATGAAGTTTTTGGATATGCATCTTCGAAACCCTTAAAAATTAATTTAAGAATTTGTTCGGATATGCATATCCAAAAAATATTTTGAGATTTTCAAACGTTTTTTCCACTCATATAACGGTGTACTAAAATTCCCTAGAAAAAAAATAAAATGGAGGAAAATAGAATGGTAAAGAAGATTTTTAGTAAGAGATAGATCCAAAGGTACGGTTACTTTAGTGAACCAAAGTCACCCAAGCCCAACCCCTAATTGTCTCATTTGACTATTATGACCATCCTTTCAATAATCATCACTTCAATCAGGGGTGTTCACAGGTTGGATTGGATCTATTTTGATTAAATCTATTTATCCAATTTAATCAATAGTCTTTAGTTTGGATGGAGTGTTAAACTCATATTTTTAAAATTAAACCTGAATTAAATCAATCTGCTCATCAATAGGTTGGAATGGATTGAATTAGTGGATAATTCACTAAAATATAATTTTTAAATTTTAAATAAAATATCAATTTTATTAGCACATTTATTTTATAAAAATATTAAAAAGTTATAAAATTTTAGTACTTAATTTAAATAAAAGGTAACATTTAATACTTAAAAACTCTTTTTCGATTCAGATTAAGTAAAAAAATATACAAATGATGTAAAGTATTAAAAGATAAGATATATCTCTTTGAATAAAAAAATTTGATCTCTCAAATTTGATTTAAAAAAATATATGCATGTAAGAATTATGTTTGATAATCATAAAATAAAATAAAAAATAATGACATGTCAATAGGTTGAGTTCGTGGATTCATGGATTTAAAACTTCAAACTCGTTATCCGAACCAAATATCAATAGATTTGAATGGATTGGTTCGGATTGAATCCATACATGATTGGATTCGATAAAAATAAGAGTTGAATGAGTGAACTCGTGGATTGACTCGTATCTATAAACACCCCTAACTTCAACTATCATTTTTCTCGATATCCTGACAATTATTATTAAAATTATTTATATAAATATGTGAGCTCACTATCAAGGATACAAGGATTTTTTTTCATCTCCAAATATGAAAATGAATACTATAATACCCTATCCAAGCTCAACGCCATCCCTTACCTTTCTTAAAAAAAACTCCCTTTTTATACTATTAAATTAAATGATGGGCTTAGAACACTCATATAGTATTTCCCATAAATAAATTATAAATTAGTAACATTTAAATAATTTATTTTCTAAATAAAAAATTATCATTTTAATATCATTTGTTCAAATCACCACCTCTATTTAATCTTTAATTAATACATTCTCATAATTACAAAAATCCATTTAAACTAAACACAGACAAAATAGCTGAAAGGCCAAACTGGCCTCCAATGACTTGAACTAATGCACAAAATCTTCAACTTTCAAAGGAAAAAAGAGAAAGAAGAAAAAAAAAATCAGAAAGCTGGAAATTGAATACTACAATTTTAATGCTTCCTTGAAACGAATGCTGAAGTTATTTTCAAGGCCTTTCTTACCAACCATGGGAACATTTCCTTTCTGCATCATAGCCACAAACTCGTTATAATCTATGCGCCCGTCCTGCACAAGATAAAGCGCATTTGATATTATTCACACATGATTACATTCAATCACTTCTATTTTCTCAAATTAATACGGTGTCCGTGTCAGTGTTGATGTCCAGAGAAGGTTGCTAAAGAGGATAAGAACGACAATAAGCTAAGACGACTTACATTATCTTCATCAATTTCCTTGATTATCTCGTCCAACCCAACATCTTTTATGCCAAACTCGTCACACGCTTGTTGAAGTTCTTCTTGAGTAATATAGCCACTTCCATCTTTATCAAAGTAAGAAAAAGCTGCAAATAGATGATCTTCTCTTTCAACTTTGTTAAGATGCAATGTTGCCGCAATGAACTCACCGTAATCAATCGTTCCACTGTTATCTATATCAGCCTACAATTTCAATGTATAGATATATCAGTTAGCCTGTTAAATAGAATAGAATACATTAATTTATAACTATGAATCTAAGATGATGCAACAGTTCTAAGATACATAACATAACCCTTTTTATAGGTTCTCAAGCTTGTCGAAATATATCAAATTCAATCGTGTATATATAAGAAATAATATATTCGTTCGAAGATCACTGGCCTCATCATCCAGCTAATACTATTTGTTGCTTTCTTCTTCAAAAGAAACTTACCGCTTGCATTAAATCATAAATTTCAGACTCCTTAAGATTTGCACCAACTTTTTTCAAACCGACTTTAAGTTCTTCAAAAGTAATTTGACCGCTGTTATCTGTGTCTAACATCTTGAACATTTCTTTTAAGCCAGCTAATTCTTCTTCTGATAAGCTCTCTGCAATGACCTGAAAAACGCAAAGGATGGTAAAATGAATAGATTTGAGTTATAGTATCTCATTTTCACTCTGCAACCAGACATCCATAATGAAAGACTTTCAATTTAAGACATTTAGAGTAATCATCATTGTACTCAAAACAACTTCGAAATTTTTGCATCAACAAACTTACTATAAGAGCCATTTTCTTAAGCTTGTTCATAGCAGAAAATTGCTTCAAGCGACTTAATACGGCGGAATCAAGTGGTTTGTCAGGAGCTACACCATCAACTTGAACCCAAGGATGACCTGCAAGAAATTGAACATATATGTTTGAATACCATCGACAAAATACTAACATTTGTCATTTAAAAAAAGACTGAAAATCAATTAGAAAAACCATATTACATAATACTTGATACGCAGTCATCCGTCTTCTAGGGTCACGAACAAGCATTTTCCTTACTAAATCTTTTGCACTTTCAGAAATTGCAGGCCATGGATCTGAAGCGAAGTCAAGATCACCGTGCAAAACCTGTTCGAATATGCCTTGTTCATTTTCTACACAACCATTATAAGCACGAGAGGGAGGGAATATCAATAATCAGAAAAATATAGGTATAAAATTTCAAGAAAAATGACAATGTTGAAATAAATGCAAAAGACCTCACCAGCCCAAAATGGAGGTACTCCACTCAAAAGAATGTAAAGGATAACACCAGCACTCCAAACATCTGCTTCAGGACCGTAACGTTTTTTCAAAACTTCTGGGGCAACATAATATGGACTACCAACCACATCGATAAATGTATCACCTGGAAGCCAAATATCATCAGCTTTTCTCCGAACTTTTTCCAATTTTATGAAGTTTCGGTTAAAAAATGCATAGAAACAAGTCTAACCCTTAATTCAATCGAATAGAAATATAACATCAGAAAGTACCTGGCTTAAAGAACACGGACAATCCAAAGTCAATAGTTTTGAGTAGCGAATCTTCTTGCTGATTGACGAATAGAAAATTCTCAGGTTTAAGGTCTCTATGCATGACACCAAGAGAATGACAAGCTTCAACAACCCCAACAATAGTCCTGATAAGTTCAGCAGCCTTTCTTTCGGTATAATGTCCACGCTGAATAATCCGATCAAAAAGCTCACCACCTGCACACAATTCCATGACAACATGAACAGCCACTGCATCCTCATAAGCACCTTTGATGGATATAACATTACGATGTCCAGCCAAATGGTGCATTATCTGAATTTCCCTTCTCACATCCTCAACATCATCATCGGTCACAAGCTTCCTCTTGGCAATAGATTTACAAGCATACTGCCGCCCGGTTTCTTTCTCAATACACAAGAATGTCACCCCAAACTGACCTTGTCCGAGTTTTTTCCCTAGACTAAAAAAGTCCTTGAAATTACCAGTTTCTCTCTGCAACACGGAATCAACACGAAGTCCAGCACTAGAACTTCTCTTCACAGAAGGTTTCCTTTCTTTCTTCTTTTCCTTTTCAGGTTCCTTTTCGGATTCGGTGTTCGGTATAGTTATCTGCTCAGGAGGTTTGTTTTGGACACGCAACGGAGATTCGGGTTCATTATCAGTTGCTACATCATTTACAGAACCTCTATTCGCCACTGATCCTTCAGGTTCAGGTAAGTGAGTACGCCAAATCGCAGCCGAAAACGATTGAATAATACCATTCTTTGAAATGCTAGGACCAACACAAGAGTTCCCCATTTTTTGCTTCACACTAATTTCTTTCTAGCACAAATTTCATCACTGGATCTATCTACGCCAACACAAAAACACAAGATCTGAATATAAAACTTCAAAACTTTAAATCTAAGTCAAACCTCTAAAAGCTAATGATTGTTAGGTAAAGTTACAAAAATGATCAAAAAACAATGAACACGGGAGTTAATAAATGCATCTAAAGAGCGTAAATCAGAAAGTAAGAAGAGCAAAAGAAGCGCGAGAAAGTAAAAAGATTCAAGGATAATGAGTTGAAAGAAGTTAGAGTTTACCGAGTCAGTTGAGGTAGATGAACGAAACTGTCAATGTTATTATTAAGACACCAGACTATGCTTCTTCTGTGTCTGCTTCGTTTTCGTTTATTTCAAAGTTATCTACTTTTTTTTCTTTTTCTTTCTTTCAATAAATAAATAACAAATTGCAATAATGGATTTTCTCTTTTCACCTATTCATTCTAATCAAATTTAATATATATAATATAAATTTAAGTGTTTGTAAAATATATAGTGTATATTTTTTTTTATTAAGTAAATAAAAATAGATAAAATATTTATTTTAATTCCTTAATTATATCTTTGAGTTTAAATATTTAAATATTAAATAGTAGATAATATTTTTATGCCATGATTATGTACTTGTTTTTTTTTTATTGAAATAATTATTATCTATCATTATTTTAAGTACATATACTAAATTATTAGGATTAATTATTATAAATTTATAGTAAATTTGGTTTTATGATATATATTATTTCGGTCAACTAAGAAGTCAGAGAGCAAAGGCGTGAAGAATAGACAAGTTTTTTTTTCCTACAACGAAGTATTTCTTATGAGGATACCATGAAGATCACCCAAATCAATCCAACGATTGACCGCATTTCATGTTGTCTCACACACAAAAATTATCAGGTAAAAGTTAGAGATTTTATGGCAAGTAACTGCATCAGGCGAGACTTGATCATTTGAAGCAGCGCCATCATCGATCAGGAAGTCTTAGTTCAACCGCTCTCAGCAGAAGATAGATTGTAGGAATTCAAAGTTGCTAGAGAAAATAGTGGTCATTGTATTTCAATGTAGTCTTTCCATTTACCATTTTTCAAATATTGTATTGGTCTATCGAATTACGCCTTTTGTGGACTACCATTTTATCAATAAAATCCTAATCTTTGGCCAATTAATTAATTCATATATTTGTTTCTTTTGCAAAGTGTCATTTATTTTCGATGATAATTTTTGAAATAAAGTTTTAATAATAAACATGTTTTTGAAAATTACAAAAACGTTTTTCTTTGACTTTTGAATAAACTAAAAAGAATGTCTGCAGTTGTTCAAGGTTGATCAAGTCTCGAAGGGCAGGACTCGGATTCCCCAGTACAGTAGTTCATGAGAATCCTCCTGTGAGTCTCCTTGTTTTGACAATCCTGATTGTATCCAACAAATTTTGGTCGGATAGTGGATTTCCTCCAGTCAGTTTATTTTTGCAGTGTTGATTTGGGTTCACCCATAACAAAGCCAGTAGAAGCTTTTACGCCCTCAGAGGACTATTGATTTCTAAAGATTTGTTTTAAGTTTCTCTAGAGGGTCTTTTTTTCTCCAAAGAAGGATCATTTGTTCTGGAAGATATTGCAGAAGACAAGCTTTGTGGCAGGGTCTAAATCTAGCTGAGATTTGGCCGAGTATCCTATTCATTCATATTTTGCTTTCCCAATTTATTGAGTGTGTTGTTTTGTCAGCATAAACATAACAATGCATGCATTTCAAAATCATTCATAAAGTCATTATCATGCATAACCGAAGTGATTCGTGCTTATTTACATTTCCTTGAGTTACTTGTTGGTACCTCGGTGTCTCTAAATTCACTTTACTGGTGGTACATTCCCTAAAAAGGAGTCTATTTTCTATCTCCCCACTGAGATTGTGCCTCATGGAAAGAATTATGTTTCAATTTTCCTTCCCAGCTTATTATCTGGATGAAACAAATCCCTAGTCGAGTTCATTCCTCGTCGGATAGAGTCATCTTTGACGATTTCTCTCCAGTTCATTCCTAGATTGAACTTTGGTCCCTTGCAACAACCTTTTGATTTCTCTAGGTTGGAAACCTAGATGGAGAAGAATGCATTTTTATACCCTTTTGGATATTATTCTCCCAAGTAAAGAATATTTGTTTAATGGATGAAGAATCTAATTCCCCAACAATTATCGCTCCAGAAATCTCTATGAGATTTTGTTTAATAGCAAGTGAAAGTCTCTTATTTGATAAGCTTGTGTGTTCCTGACATATCAAATCCTTATTTACATAGCAAGTGTAAACCTCTTCAGTCAATACCTGACAGAGAAGCTTGTTGTGATTCAACAAATCAAAGTTAACAAAGGTTCGTTTTCTAACAGATGGTTGTCTCTTTTTGAGAAGGTTGTTGTGATCCCTGATCAGACTTAAGAATTAAATCTCCAGCAAGTGAAGATCGCTTCAGGTTGAATACCAAAATTCGAAGAAAGCTTGTTTGTTACCCTTTCCTGGTGGAATTTGGTTAAAGAAGAAACTGAAACTCGTTCCTGGTGGAATACCGAAAGTCGTGATAGGTTTGTTACCCTTTCCAAGTGGAATACTTGGTTAAAGAAGAAACTGAGACCCTTCCTGGTGGAAGACCGGAAGTCATGGGAGGTTTGTTACCATTTCTAGGTGAAATACTTGGTTAAAGTAGAAGCCATCCCTGTTTTAGGTGGAAGACCAGAAGTTATGTGAAGCTTATTATCAATTCAAATCTTGTCACTACCTTCGTCTATGAGTTGGTAGTATATTGTCATTTATGAGTCGGTATTACATGTTTCTTTACCATCATTTATGAGTCGATAGTATCCTATTTATTGCCTTTAATTATGAGTTGGCAGTTTATCCATATCCTGTCATCATCTTCATCTATGACTTGGTGGTGGTTCCTTTTTCCAAATGACTACTCAGTGTTTATTCCCCAGTAAGTTCAGTGTTTATTTCTTTGATGCGTATTCCCCAGTGGAGTTTTCCATTATAGCCTCCTATTTCTTTCACCTCATGGTGTTGTGTTGTTTCCCAGTGAGTCATGTCTCCCTGGCGGGTTCCTTTCAAGTTTTTCTTCAGCAAAATCAGAGTCGTAATTCCCCACGTAATCTATCATCCATAGCATTTTCCTTGTGGAGTCCGGTCATTCGCATTCATATCATAAGCATCGTGTGGAATCTTAGGGCTAAAAATCATGTTTTCTATATTTAAGTATCTTTTATCCCATTGATATGAAGATTTCCAATCTTCATACCTCAGAATATAAGAAACTTAAATAGGGGCAGTTGTCACACCCTAATTTTTACCCCTCAGATTCCACATATCACATCATTTGCATCAAACCAAATATCACAAGCATGGCATCCTCATAACCTTTGCCTCCTTTGGTTCAATATTTATGGGAGATCACCAAGCACCCTTGTTTGTTTCTTTTTGTATCTATGCTTGTTTACATCTTAAAATTGCTAACATGATTCAAAATACAAAAATAGGTGTTACTTTCTTATTGTTCAAGGTAGGGGCTTGCGATCAAAGGATCAAGATTGGTTTCCAAATTAGGGTTTTGGTTCTCAAGGTAAAAGTTTGGTTAGCAAGTAGTTATCAAGAGATTTTACTTCAAGGCATGACCTATAATCTTAGGTCATATTCATGTCAAGTTTCATTCAACTTCATTTGGTCAAGAAAAGTTCAAGTTTGGTGCACGATTTCAAAGTTTATTCAAGAATGGTTCATGTGTTTATTTCCATGCCATATCCATCCAATTCTCAAGCAATAATCAAGATTATTCAAGGGACAATCAAGATTTCATTTGCTGTTCAAATGTTCATTATTGGGCCTTTGGATGCAAGAAGGTCTCAAAAATCACAAGTTGTTACATGTTTGGTTGACCTAAAATCAAGTATGGCATGTCACTTGGTCCAAACACCATAACTCTCTCATTTCTCAACATTTTTGGAATCTAATTTGAGCCAAATGTCACATTTGAAATCCTCTAAAACTCTGTTTCAAGGGTCAAACATAAATTTTTCCTCTAAGGACCTCAATTTTGGAATTGGACAAGATGCCCATGTGTGCACAATAGTTGGTCCAAAACTTGGTTCGACCTATTGTCTGGCCTAGAATTCAGGTTATGACCTGAACTTGTCATCCATGTTATTTTCAACTCAAGCATCCTTTTGATGTTATTATTTTTGAATTTGATTCTTCATCATGAGGAGATCATTTGGCACGAATAACATTTCAAAATGAACAAAATAATTTCATTTGGCCTAAGCTCCAATATGGTGCCATGAACTATTCTTTTCACGCATGACCCGTAATTAGAAATTGTCCAAAACTTCATTTGGGATCACCAATGCATGTGCACACTCATTTTTCCTTGCAAAATGCATAACATAGAGTGCAAAATGACCTATTTCCATGCCTAAGTCATGTATGCCATCCCTCTTCTCACACGGATTGCAAATTGAGAAATTACAACTTGGTTCACATGTTATAAATCTAATTTTGTACGTACCATGACCTCGTTGGGTTTCCTATAAATAGAGGACCATTTCCCCTTTATTGGCAAGCTTAAACACCCACAGAACCTCTGCCATTTTCTCTCTTGAAGAGCTTCAAAAAACAGAAACCCTCATTTCGTTTTAAGCTCGTTTTAACTTCAAATATCTGCCCAAAATCACTCATCGGCACCCTCTGAAGTTAATTGAACCATTACAGAAGCTTGAAACCTCTTGCAACCTTCAACTTGATTTCCCTATTGTTTACCTTCGAAGCTTCAATTGGAAAGATAAATACGAGTTAAATTTTTGAACAAACAAGTTACCACACACTTCGTCTTGATTCGATGATTCAAATCCCTCACTTACCTAGAATTTATTCTTCATATTAGTCATTTAGTTTTACTTTGAAGCATTAGGATTTTCTGCATTTCTGAGAAAATTATCTCT